CATAATAATTAAATACAAAAAATATAAAAAACATGATAAATAAATAAAAAATAAAAAACATGATAATTAGATAAAATATATATAGATTTTCCAGTTTGCCGCGAGGAGCATTGTGGGACAATTGAACTTATTATTCGACATTTCTATAGATAAGCGCACACTGTCAAACAGTATCTGAATATATTCCATGCCTGAGAGCTTTTGCAGGTTGGACAGAATGAGTTACATTCCTGTGGGAAGTGACTCTACCTTAACTCTTCTATGCTTTGAATTGCATCGGTTTTGCACGTCTATTGTAAAAGGTAGGTTGAATTTTCACTGTTTTAAACTCTGGGTATTAAACGAGGCAACTTTAGAATTTAAAAATATTTATTTTTATTCGGATACTACAAAGTGTAAGCTATAAATAGTCAATAAGAGAACCAATCAAATTCTACGATTCGATTCGTACGTGTGGCTAGCGTTTAAAGATGGATACAACAAAATTATTAAGTTAAGAAAATTAATATTTATCAAAAATATTTAGATAAGACATTTCAAGATCAATAACCAGAAAACTGTTTAAACAGTATTCTGTAAAAAAGTCAAACTATTTCAGATGTGTATTGACTTAAATGCAACACTGGTCTGTAAACATATTTATTATAAGCACAATTCAGTAAAACATTGTATTATATTAAATGTAAAACTAATTAGGCTATGTCTTGTATGTGAATTACACTAAATATAAAACTGGTCTATAAACACTAATATGTATTGTAAACAGTATTCAGTTGAACAGGATTAAACTATGTCTTGTATGTGAATCATATAACTGGTCTATAAACGCTAGTATTTATTGTAAACAGTATTCAGTTGAACAGGGTTAAACTATGTCTTGTATGTGAATCATATAACCAGTCTATAAACGCTAGTATTTATTGTGAACAGTATTCAGTTGAACAGGGTTAAACTATGTCTTGTATGTGAATCATATAACCAGTCTATAAACGCTAGTATTTATTGTGAACAGTATTCAGTTGAACAGGGTTAAACTATGTCTTGTATGTGAATCATATAACCGGTCTATAAAGGCTAATATTTATTGTAAACGATATTCAGTTAAACAGGGTTAAACTATGTCTTGTATGTGAATCATATAACTGGTCTATAAACGCTAGTATTTATTGTAAACGTATTCAGTTGAACAGGGTTAAACTATGTCTTGTATGTGAATCATATAACTGGTCTATAAACGCTAGTATTTATTGTAAACGGTATTCAGTTGAACAGGGTTAAACTATGTGTTGTATGTGAATCAACAAACTTTCCTTAACATTGTATCTGTTGAAACCATGGAATGAACAAACTTTCCTTGCATCGTATCTGGTGAAACTATACAATGAGCCAACTTTCCTTGACATCGTATCTGTTGAAACCATAGAATGAACAAACTTTCCTTGACATCGTATCTGTTGAAACCATGGAAAGAACCAACTTTCCTTAACATTCCATCTGTTGAAACTATGGAAAATTAAATATTTTTCCTTAACATTTTACCTGTTAAAACTATGGAATTAACTATTTTTTCTTGACATCGTATCTGTTGAAAAATGGAATGAACAAACTTTTCTTAACATCGTATCTGGCGAAACTATGAAATGAGCCAACTTTCCTTGACATCGTATCTGTTGAAACTATGGCATGAGCCAACTTTCCTTGACATCGTATTTGTTGAAACTATGGAATGAACAAACTTTCCTTGACATCGTATCTGGCGAAACTATGGAATGAGCCAATTTTCCTTGACATCGTATCTGGCGAAACTATGGAATGAGCCAACTTTCCTTAACATCGTATCTGTTGAAACTATGGAATGACCAAACTTTCCTTGACATTGTATCTGTTGAAACTATGGAATGAGCGAACTTTTCTTAACATCGTATCTGTTGAAACTATGGAATGAGCAAACTTTTCTTGACATCGTATCTGTTGAAACTATGGAATGAGCGAACTTTTCTTAACATAGTATCTGTTGAAACTATGGAATGAGCAAACTTTTCTTGACATCGTATCTGTTGAAACTATGGAATGAGCGAACTTTTCTTGATATCGTATCTGTTGAAACTATGGATTGAGCGAACTTTTCTTGACATCGTATCTGTTGAAACTATGGAATGAGCGAACTTTTCTTGACATCGTATCTGTTGAAACTATTGAATGAGCGAACTTTTCTTGACATCGTATCTGTTGAAACTATTGAATGAGCGAACTTTTCTTGACATCGTATCTGTTGA